TGTAATTTCACCTCGGCTCAGAATGCTTTTATGACGCCAGATTAATGTAAACACAGCCCACGGTGAACACCCTTGTGATTCGCTTCAACCTTTTCGAATCTTATGAATGATTATTTTAGGTTCAAGTGTGTGTAAGGATTTGGAAACGAGCAGAGTACGGCTGATTCTAAAGCATGCAGCGCCATCTGCTGTTCAAAACTAAGCTCAGAATCGACTCGAGAAAGAATCGCCATTCATTCGGAAAATCTCTGAATCGATGCGGAATCATTTCTATATTCGCGATGCATTGATTTATTTTCCCAACCCTAGTGGTGATGATAATGATGATGATGATGATAATGATGGTGACTGATGGTGATGTAATGATGGGGATGGTGATGATTATTTGATGTGATGGTGTTCAGGAGCAGGAGGCGCGTGAGCTGCGTCTGCGTGTGGAGGAGCTCCAGCAGGAGGAGCAGAAGCTGCGCAGAGATGCAGACAGACTCCGAGAGCAGCTGCACAAGCTCCAGACGGAGTCACATGACACACGGACACACGCACAGCAGCTCCAGCAGCAGCTCACACACGCCACGCAGCAGCTACACACACACACGGTGAGACGCACGGCACACACATCATCAGTCACATGACCCTCAGAGCCGTCGCAGCTGACCGCACCTGTGCTGCTGTTTCAGGAGCAGGTGAAACAGGAAGTGGCCGCGCGTGAAGAAGCCGAGAGCAGGACGCGGCAGATACAGGAAGAGCTGGAGCAGATCAGGAGAGAGAGAGATGCTCTGAGAGTGGACCGAGCGCTGGAGCAGGTCTCTCTCTCACACACACACACACACACACTATACAAATAAAATAATAAACACTTACTCACACACACACACACACACTCTCACTTACTTTCACACACACACTCACACACAAACACACACTATGCAAATAAAATAAAAAACACTTACACTCACTCACTCACTCACTATACAATCACTCACTCACACACACACACTCACACACACTCACTCACTCACTCACTCACACACACCTAACCTACTTGTAAGAGTACTATTGAGTGCAGCGGGGCCTAGCCGAAGCACCTCAGTTTTTTCAGCGTTTAGTTGCAAAAATTATTAGCCATCCAAGTTCTCACTTCGTCAAAACATGAGTAAAGATGTTGTAAAGAAGGTAGCAATGATAGTTAATATTATATTTCTGAAGAATGGAGCCTAGGGGAAGCATGTAGAACGAGAACAATAAAGGACCAAGAATAGAACCCTGTGGAACACCATAAGGGATGGGCGCAGAAGGTGAGGTGAACAACCCAATATTTACTGGAAAAGTCCTACCCTTTAAATAAGAGGTGAACCACTGTAATGCCGTGCCTTGAACCCCTACTACACATTTGAGTCGATTCAAGAGGATGTCATGGTCGATAGTGTCGAAGGCTGCACTCAAATCTAACAGTATCAGAATGGCAGATGACCCCGAATCAATGGACAGCAAAAGATCATTCATAACTTTAAGCAAGGC